TGGGGGTGGCTGGGTGATAGACACTGGGGAGGGTATGTGCTATGGCGAGTGCTGTGAATTGTGCAAGACTGTTGAATCACAGATCTGTACTTCTGAAACAAATAATGCAACGTATGTTAAGAAAAAAAAAGAAGAAGAAGATAGCAGGATGGGAAAAATGAAGGGGGAGATATTGGAGTGGGAGACCAACCATGAGAGACAATGGACTCTGAAAAACAAACTGAGGGTTCTAGAAGGGAGGCGGGTGGGGGGATGGGTTAGCCTGGTGATGGGTATTAAAGAGGGCACATTCTGCATGGAGCACTGGGTGTTATGCACAAACAATGAATCGTGGAACACTACATCCAAAACTAATGATGCAATGTATGGTGATTAACATAACAATAAAAATTTTTTAAAAAAAGAAACTCACCTAAAATCATGTAGTATATAAGTTAGCTTTTGCTGCATCACAAACCACCCAACAACTTATGATTTAAAACAGCAAGCATTCATTTCTCACAATTTTGTGAGCTGGCCTGGCTCCGTGGGGGTTGGAAGGCCAAGGTGCCTGGTATGTGGGAAGAGGAAGAGTTAGTTCAAGGTCAGCTGGGTGATGGAGACATGGCCACGAGTCTCTCATGATTCAGCAGGGCTTGTACAAGGTGGCTGAGTTCCAAAAGTAGCATGAGGGCAAACGAGGGCACTTTCCAAATCTAGCTTGCTATTCTCCCATTGGCCAAACCAAGTCCCATGGCCAAGTCCAGCAGTATGGGAAGGGACCACCTCAGGGGTGGTACAGGGAGGGAGAATTATTGCTGCCATTTGCCCCAACAAAGAATGTACCATACATAGCTTGTAAGTGTCCAACTGGAGTTCAAAATCAAGTTTGTTAGATCTGAAAGTTCAAAACTATCTTGGGAGTTATCGCTCAGGGTCTGAGAGTCCAGAACACTCTACGCGTTGCCTAAACAAGTCCACAACATTTTGCATGCACACCTGCAACTGTTTTGCAAATGTATATACATTAATAAACACAAATTATACCTCAATAAACACAGTTTTAAATGTTTGTTCTACTTCACTGCATGTTTTCTTCTTTAGATCCTCCAAGTATATTTGAGTTTCCTTTGCTTACTTTTTACCTTTATCACCTTCTTGCCAGTCTTTTGTATTATTTTCCTTATTTTTTTGCATTATCTTCATTATTCTCCCTTTTACCCTTTATTTCCTTTTTCTCTGTTGTCTATACTCTCTTGTATTCTTTTTATTTCTGAAAGGCTTTTTTTCTTTTGCTAATTTTTTCCTGTGTCTGTTGGGATCATTGTTTCGTAACCATGTCTAGCTGAGCTCCATGAATATTTCTGACCAAAAAATAGAATTACCTTTTTTTTTTTTTTACTGCATTACATTTTATTGTCCCTGAAATTAATAATTATGTTTCTTTTTCAGTTGCATAGTTGTCTGGCCATTTTATTCCAGAGCTATTTTTCTGGTTGATGCGCTTTTCTCAAAGCTTTCATCATTGTCTTATTTCAGCCCTTTCTGAAGTGTTAGGCCAGAGTTTTCATCTGTTTTGTGTCTGCATTTTTCTGGTATCTTCCTGTCAAAATAGTTTACAGTTCATTTTTTTCTTGTAATACCTTACCTGTGGCGAGATCACATTCTCTTCCTCTTTTCCAAAATTTAAATGAAATGTGTTAACCCTGACTGCTGGAAGGACATTTCTGAGGACAAGGGAATGGCCTAGGGTACCTTTCCCAGCTTCACAGCTCAGGGCTCCCTCTTTGTTACTGTGAAGGGTCAAGAAATAACCAAACATGGTTATTTCTCTGCCTCTCAGGGCTAAACCTACTTCAGAAAAGTCTGCTCTATTTCCCATTGGCCTACAGGCCTTGCCTGCCAAGGTAAGAACCTTTGATGTTATATTTTGCTGTTACAGTTGTTTCTGGTTTTGCTTCCTCTGGGACCTTTCCCTGCTCCCTGTTTGAACCTCTCTTCTCCTTACTCCTAGTGTTATTTCCCTGCTCGATTTGGTTTCTCAACCTAGCGGGTTTTTTGTTTTGTTTGTTTTGAGGCAAGGTTTGTCCTTCTGAAGGAAATAGTTGCTGGGTGTTTCTGGAATCCTCAGGGCGTCGATGACCATAACAGCAGCTGATCACTGGGTGCCAAAGTGCCTCTTTTGCAGCTTTGCACTCACCAACTCGGAACACGTGATGAGTTCTTCCAGTTTTGCTGGAAGAAACCTCCTTTTGAAAGGAGGTAGCAGTTCTCTTTAGACTTGTTTGTCCTGTTTGGTACAAGGATAAACGATGGTTTGGGACGGGATGGTGTCAATGAAGATGCCGAGAACTGGACAATAGGAGAGAGAATTTGATGACATAACCAGGAGGAATTGCTGATGGGTATGATGTAGGAGAGGAAGGGTTGAACAATTTAATTGGTGTTGTTATTCACAGAGATGGGGAAATTGGGCGGGGAGGAGGTGGGAGGAATGACTGGTGATGAGGGAAGCAAGTACTCCTGAGTTTCTAATATTAACAAGTGTAGTTGGATATGAGTCTAGAACTCAGGGAGAAGATTTAGTCTAGAAATAGAAATTTAGAGGTCATCAGCTGTCTTAGACAGTTTAGGCTGCTATAACAAATTACCATAGGCTAGGAGGCTGAGCTAGCTCTCTGGCCTCTTCTTAAAAAGGCATTAATCTCACTCATGAAGGCTCTCTCGTCATGACCTAATTACCTCCTAAAGACCGCACCTCCATATACCATGACATTGGGGATTAGATTCCAACATACGAATCTGGGGGGTTGGGAACATGTAATCTACAACAACAAACAGGTAAATTAAAGCCATGGGCCTGGATAAGATCAGATTACAAAGTGGTGGCCTAGGACTGGTCCCTGATACACCATACATGATGATGCATTCAGAGGTAGGTGGGGGGAGGAGAAACCAGGAAAGGAGCCCATGAGATGGAGGAGCTATGGAGGTAAGGAACATCGGGAGAATGTGGTGCCATGAAGGCTGAGGGAAGAGCATTTCAAGGAAGAGGGACTGACAAACCAGATGGGAGTTGCTAGAGGCTGAACTGAATCCAAATAAAAAATATCCATTGGATTTAACGTCGAGGCCATTGGAGACCTTGACTGTAAAGAATAGCTTCAGGGAAGCAGTAGGGACAGAAAATTAGATGGAAGAGGGGAAGGAGAGAATGTGAGGTGAGAAAGTGTAGATAGCTGGTGTAGGCAAGTTTTGATGTCAAGGAGAAAGGAGGCAGCTGAAAAAGGATATGGGGGTCAAGGGAGTTTTTGTTTTTTGTAGAGGGGAAACAGAAGCATGTTTGCATACTAATGGAATAATCCAGTAGAGGAGGAGAGATTCATGGTGCGGGAGAGATGAAAACCTTGAGAAGGCGAAAGGAGGTAGGATCCAGCACATGAGGGGAGACTTGTCTGTAATAAGAGCAGGGACACCTTTGTTGTAACGGGAGGGAAGATGGAGAACACAGTTCTTGAGGGAAGTTTATAAATCTGGTGGAACAGCCATGAGTTAAGGCCCCTTCTGAGGGCTTCTATTTTCTCAATGGAGTGTGAGGTGAAGTCATGAGCTGAGAAAGGAGGCCTATATGGAATGCGCGAGGAAGGGAAAGATTTGAGGAGAAAGGAGAATATAAAAGTGGTATCTTTGAGTGGGAAACTTACTATGGAAACTCGATTGATTGGAGGTTTGTGGTCATTAGTTTAAAATAAAATGGGTCATCTGCCCTCTCTCCCTCCCTCCTCCCCTCCCTCCCTTCCTTTTTGCTATGTGGGGCCCAGGGCGGTAGAGGCTAGGTGATGTGACGCAGAGAAGGGTCAGGGCTGAGTAAGGCAGCAGCTCAGCAAGGGTAGGGAGACTGGTTATATGCAAGAGGGTGGGTGGGAGGGAACAGATATATTTATATATTTTATTTATATATCTTTTAGCATATAAGTTAAAAACGCTTTTGGTAGAATAACTAACTAAAAACGCTTTTAGCAAAATAATCCTAAAGTTAAAATATTAAAATAGATATGTAAGCACTCACATTCACATTGTGAGTGCAGAGAATTTTCATATCACAGAATCTTATTATCCAAGGCATTTTAGAGGCCAATCCTAATCATATTAGATAATGAGGAAAATGAAGTTAAGTGACTCCCCCCAAGTCACATAACAACTTGATGGTATAGCTGAGACTAGAATTTTGGGATTCAGATTCCCAGGCCCTAGTTCTTTCTACAAGATATTGATGCTCTACTACTTCATATGCTTATCATAAAAAAGGGGGGATTATCAGAATGAAAACACTGGTTAGGAAAGAATAATCTGCTAGCAGTTTATTTCTTATAAATTCCTCTCTCTTCAATTTCAGCTATTTGGAAAAATTGTGGTCATTAATAGAGTTCTATCCTAAAAAGTGGGTTTAAATATGAATAAACAAGGTATAGTAAAGAATTTTTACAACTGTAAAGTGTGACCTTGCCTCTTAAGTACAAACTGCTCAGTTATTTCTCTTCCAAAAGAAAATCACTGTTGAATGGGAACAGATCACTGACACAGAACAACAAAACGCAGAAATTAGAACACTTTATTATAAATATTTCCAGAATATAAACTGATTTTGCATCAAAACTCTTTGAAACTTTTAAAACTATATGTAACCTTAGCTTATTATTATTATAATGTATTTCATTCTCCACCTTCCAATCTAGAAAATACACTGCAAGTTAGATCTAAAAAGGAAAAAAAAATCAGTCTAAATTGTGTCATAGAGAAAACTAATGAATATAAAAATACCCCACCCAAAACTAAAACAAACCCAATCAAGAAAGATTCTGCAAAGCCTATTAATACTCCAATTTAAAATAAATGACCTCCCAAGGGAAAAATACTTCTACCATCCCAGCAATTTGATGAGTAAAATCAGAGCCACTGTCATTAAGGGAAATTACATTATATAAGAATGTAAGGATGCTTTTAGAATATGAGGAAAAGTAATTTCCATGTTGGAGAGTAAGCGTATTAAATACTTTGTGGTCACTTGGCCTGTTGTTAGAAGTTGCAGTACCTGTTCACAGGAAAGAACCAATATGAACGTGAACGTCAGAAAACCAGGCCCCTCAACTATTTTTTCAATTTAACCTCAGGAGAACCAACTCAAGAGCTTCAAAATCCAAGGATAGACTGGTCCCAAAGCATTTCCTCCTCTGTCCTTTCTTTACCTTGTTCCTTTTTCTCTTTTCTACGTTTACGTTCTTCTTTCTTAGAGGCTCCATCTCGGCTTTTTTTCTCCTTTCGATTCTTAAGCTTTTCTGTACTGACCCTGACTGTTTCCATCTGTGTTTTGTTTCTTTGGAAGTTCTTGTGTTTATCTAAATCTGTTTCCGCGCAACCTTTTTTTCTCTTATGCTTGGGCCGCTCCTCCTCTGGTTTGTCTCTGCCTTCTTCCGGGTGTCTTTTCCCCTTCTGATGTAGCTGTTTATGCCTGGCTGGATGGCCACCGGCACTGTTTTCTGAGGAGAGGCGCTTGTGAACTCCAGATTCTACACTGTATGAGCTACAGTTAGACTCTCGCTGACTAAGGTTCAGGGGTTCTGGTTTTTCTGAGAAACAGTCCCTGGTGAATTGACAGTAGCTCAGGGAGTCTAGTCTTAGTCTGCTGTCATAAGCTGGTAGCCACTGAGGTAACTGGTTTTCCACTTTTTGTGAACTAGGGCATGATCTTGGGTAGGGCTGCCCAGTTTCAGATGAGCGTCTTTGATCAAACATTCTATACCTTGGTTGGTAATCAAGCTCTTCTCTGTATCCACAGGTTTCCAAACAGTTGTCTCTCATCTTTCTGAAACAAGTCTTTGGCTCTAAGCCTCTGGCTTTCTGCACTTTGATATAATCTTCAAGTTCATCTTGAAAAGAGTCATATGTCTTCTTTGAATGCTTCATTAGGTTGACAACAAGGGATTCTCTGTAGAGAAGATAGGAGAAAATTCTTACTAGATCATTTTATTCTGAATATTTCCTTTGCTCTTGAAGAGAGCTTCCAAAAAACAAAGAAGCCCAAACAAATTAAAACCTAATTCAGCATAAAAGTTAAATACCATGACATTGTATGTCAAAAAGGTACATGAGGATAGTCAAATATCTCCCAGGCCACTCACAAGTAGCTTTATCTTTCTCAGAAGTGGGATGAAGAGGGCAGAAAGGAGATGGAATATAGGGTTCTGTTGTATGGCTGAAAATGTAAGACATAGGCATGTGTGGATAAGGACTATACATCCCTGATAAGTGGCCTGATAAAATCCTCATATATTTCCTAAAGTTCTGATTTAACCAGTTTCTTGTATATTGTTTTCTAAGAGAATAGAGCCATAGAGAAGTAATTTAATTTTTAAACTCTTCAGTTTACTCAAACAAAATAAAATAAACATACATACTTACCTGACTAGAGTACTGTAAGACTTAATAAAAGGATGTTTACAAAATGGTTTGGGAATGCTGGAAATTAGAAATTCAGCTATGAGATGAACCTACTCTTTTGTATAAGGCATGAGAGAAGATGAGGGAACAGAGTTCCGTACCTTCTGTATAGGGCTTGAATTTCATTTCTGTTACTTCTGATTGGTGAAAAAAGCATTCTAGAATGTCTTTGGGTTTGTTCTCTATTAAAGTACTGGTGGGAGGGTTAAGGGAGGAAATGGAGGTGAAAGCTGAGAGGGGCTCAGACTGATGCAGAGAAAAGTTTCAGAAGAAATATAAAGCAGATACCCTAGTTTTTTGTTGGCTTGTTTGATTCTTTTGGTGGGGGTAGCACCATTCCTGATTTATTTCTTTCCCCTCCCTCAAATCCTGCATACGTGCAAATATCTTACTACAAGATGATAACGCCTTAGATATTTTTGGTGACATACTCTGTCTCCAAAAATCAGGAGGCTGCATACCCCATGTAGAAATCAGGAGGCTGCATAACCCATGTAGAACAGAACATTTCTTCCCTTTAACAGAAAGAAATAAGCCAATAGCAGTCTAGAGTCACTAAGGATCTGCTATCTTTTCTGGAAATCTGAGATTAAAAATAATGTCTAAATTAAGCCTCGTTTGGTGAGTCAGAAAATTTAGCTCCTATTCAACTTAAATAGTATAAAAATTCTAACTAGAATAAAATAACGTAACAAATATTTGATGAAATATAGGCAAAAGATTTGAACAGACACTTCAGAAAAGAATATATACAAATGGCCAATGAACACATGAAAAGGTACCATTAGTCATCAAGTCAATGTCCATTAAAACCACAATGAGACACCAGTATGAGCACTCACTAGAATGACTGAGATCAAAAGAATGACATTATCAGTGTTGTTGGTGAGCATGTGGAATTCTGTAGAATGGCAGTTTCTGAGGAAGTTAAACATACGCTTACTGTACGATCTAGTTATTCCATTCCTAGATATTGCCCCCAAAAGAAAAGAAAGTATATGTCCATACAAGGACTGACATATGAATGTTCATAGCAGTGTTATTTGTAATAGCCCCAGAAAGGAAAAACCAAAATGATGATCAACAGGTAAATGGAACAATCAAACAGTGGTATATTCATACAATGAAATACTAGCAGTGATCAAAAGGAATGAACCATTGAAACAGTCAACAATATGGATGAAACTCAAAATATGCTGAGTGAAAGAAGCCTGACGAAAGAGTACATAATATATGATTCCATTAAATAAAACTCTAGAAAATGCAAACTCATCTATAGTAACAGTGTTTGCTTGGGGATGAGGCAGGGAGCGGTGGGCGGAATGATTACAAAGGGTACTTTATGGGGTCTGGATGTATGTTTACTGTATTGATCATTTGATGGTATATACATCTGTCAAAACCCATCAAATTGTGTATTTTAAGTATGTACAGTTTATTATATGTTAACTATACCTCTGTAAAGCTGTTTTTACAAAGTCACTAACAAGATTAAAAAGACGTTGATAACTGTTGAAACTGGATGATGGGTATATGAAGGTTCACTATACTATTTTCTCTACTTTTATGTTTAAAAATTTTTGATACTTCATACCCACACAGATGGCTATAATAAAAAAAGGCAGATGATATTAAGTGTTGACAAGGATATGGAAAAACTAGTAACTTCATTCATTGCTTGTGGGGATGTAAAATGTGCAGCTATTTTGAAAAACAGTCTGGACTTCCAGCCCTGTGCCCACAGTTCTGAGCCTACCCGGAGCCAGGTAGATGGTCACCATGAAGTTCAATCCCTTCCTGACCTCAGATGGCAGCAAAAACCCCAAATGCCACTTCAGTGTCCCCTTGCACATGCACAGGATGATCATGTCTTCCCCATTCTCCAAGGACCTGTGGGAAAAGTACAACATCTGCTACATGCCCATCCGCAGGGATGATGAGGTCCAGGTGGTTTGAGGACACTATAAATGTCAATAAATCAGCAAGGTTGTCCAGGTGTTAGAAAGAAATAGGTCATCTACATCAAGCGGGTACAATGTGAGAAGGCTAATGGCACAACTGTCCATGTGGACATTCACTCGAGCAAGGTGGTTATCACCAGGCTAAAACTGGACAAAGATCTGAAAAAAATTCTTGAATGCAAGGCCAAGTCTCAACAAGGTGGAAAAGAGAAAGGCAAATATAAGGAAGAACTTATTGAGAAAAATGCAGGAATGAATATAATCTGTTGTGCAACCATAACCTTAACTGTAGATTTTTAGCCTGGTTATGTATTCCTTTGAAACCTCTCAAAGTGTCTCTTGAATATTTCATTTCCTTCCTGTTTTGTTATTGATATGTGGCTCTGTGAATCTACTTTTGCTGTTTTGATTAATAATTTTATGAATAACCACTGGAAACATTTTCTAATTAAAAAGAAAAAAGAAAAACAGTAATGGCAATTCCTCAAAACATTAAACACAGTGTTACCTTATGACCCAGCAATTTCACTCCTAGGTATACACCCGAGAGAACTGAAAACCTATGTTCACACAAAAACTTGAACACAAATGTTCACAGCAGCAATATTCATTAACAGCTAAAAAGTAGAAACAACTCAATGTCCATTAATTGCTGAATGGATAAATAGGGTGCAGTATATTCATACAATGGAATATTACTCAGCAATAAAAAGGAAGGAAGTGCTGATACATGGTACAACATGGATGAACGCTGAAGGCATGCTAAGTGAGAAAAGTCAGTCCCCACAGTCCACAGATCATGCAGAGATCAATAAAGAGGTGAATGGAAACTTACCTTCTCAGGCTGAGAACTTGGTGAAGAAATCTGATCATAGTCACCCATTAATTTCTTCAGTTTTCTAGCATGAGCTTTCCCCACATGGTGAGACTGCGCAACAACCGGGGAGCTAAAAAACACGATGCAGAGATCCCCAAATCGATTTTGTCTAATACTCTATTCCTAGTCATCTGAAACCAAGTGAAATCTTGTTATAAAGATTAAATAGTTCAAAGTTTAGAATTATACCATCAACATAGATTCATCATCTGAAAATTCACAAATCCATCTCCAATTTCTTATCATTTTACTTCCTGTAAGTCTGAAAGTTAGGCTAACTCTTTGAGCATATATTTTACCCCGGAAAAATAAATAGTATTTTGTTTTAGAACAAAGTAACCTCAAATTTCCACCTCTAAATCTGTAGATAGCATTCATGATTTTTAATATATTTAGTCTGAACTAAGAGTTTAAGAACAGAGTTTTGCTTGCTTTCAAATAAAAGTCAGCTTCGTAGAAATAATCTTATGATCTAGAAGATCTCTATTTTCAACCTACCTCATAATGTGAAATCCTTTGCGATTTAAACTATATCCCTACCCCCCATACTCCTTTTACAAAGGGTAACTATAAAAGTTCAATATTTGTTCATTCAACGTGGTATCTATGAATAAAATAAAGGGAGGTAAGATAGAAGATCATATTAAACATTTAAGGTAATATTTTCAATCTTTAAATAGATATCATTTCATATACCATCTCATATTTTAATTTCCTGAGTGCCTGCAAGGCTATATACTAGCTTTTTGCTAATTAGAATGAAATTTCAGTATGAAAACATTTAGTAAGTCTCTAGTCTTTACTTTGGTAATATATGTTTATTCAGTTCAGAAAATACCATTCTGAAAGAGAAGTTACTGGGTCACCAGTAGGAGTCTGGACTTTATTGAAAGATTGGGCTAAGAAATCTGGCCTTGGCATTTCTGTGTTTTATAGCAGACAATTTCAAAACATGCAGTTTATTTTAAGATAGTCTCTCATTCTAGCTATACCCCTAGTGTTATCTGGAAATCACCTAGAGGAACCACAAACCATCTTTACCTGTGGCGGGCAACAGTCCTCCACAGTTGGTACAAACATGATCACAAGCAAGGCTCACTAAACAAGGCTCAGATAAGCCACTCAAAACTATAGTCATATTCACATATTAATTTCCAGAACTTTTGTTCAAAGTATTTCTCACCAGAATAAATAATCTACACCAAAATGACCACATTTACGCTTGAGGGCTATACTACTATCTAAAAGTTCCTAACAGTTGAAATTTATTTTATGGAAATTCACTAGTTTATAAAAATGATACCACTCATGGAACATCAAAATTGTACTTCCTATGCAGCCATTTAAATGAATGAGTTGGAACTACATGTACTGTCGTGGAGAAACGTCCATGATACATTAAGGGGAAGAAATGATGTAGAAGTCTATCTACCTATTTACCTATCTATTGATCAATCTAAAATCCAATTTTAGTGTAAAAACACTTAACATACAGAACCCAAAACCTAAATATATTCATATATGTTTATTGTAAGGGGGAGTTAAAGGAGCTGGCCTGCAACCCATTTACTTCCTTTCCTGGGGCGGGGGGAGGGAAGAAGGTAGGTGACTTCTGGACCTCTGACTAAAGAGACCAATGATATTAGCTAGGAGAAAGGGAACTTATCTTTGACATGCCTTTAGCAGGATGTCCCTGGCTAAGGATTATCTGTAGTAAATAAATTCAGGATCTATGAGGCATAGCTCTCTGAAGAATGTCACATAAACTAGGAGGTATAAAATGGAGATGGTTCATAATTTAAATACTCCCACTGAGAGAGGTGACCCTCACTTAGAAACCTCATCTATTATTTTGGGTCAGAGATGCATGACCAACATAGGAAAACATGGTTTGAGGAGCCATCTTTCATGTCCTAGATACCTCTGCTTCTTTGGAGTTGCATGATCGATTATATCCTTGAAATACTTAGTAAACTTGATACTAGGTAATATTACTGATTTGTGTTAGTATGATTTGACAGTCTGATCTTGTATATTGCAATATCCATAGGAAAAAATCAGAAAAGATATACACTAAACTTACCGGGTCTTGGGAAATGGGCTTAGGAAAGGTGTAATAGACAATATTTAACATTTTGCTCTCTGCACATGTCTATATTGTTTTAATTTCTGCAAAAAGCATTACTTTGTAATTTAAAACTCCATAAAAATTTGATTTAAAGGTTCTGCAGCGTATCTTCAAATTAGGCTTAATTTTCAGTACCAATATGTAGATTAAAAAGGTTTGCTTAAAAAATATTATGAGTTTCGGATGCCTGGGTGGCTCAGTCGTTTAAGTGTCTGCCTTTGGCTCAGGCCATGATCCCAGGTTCCTGGGATGGAGCCCTGTGTCAGGCTCCCTGCTCAGAGGGGAGCCTGCTTCTCCCTCTCCCTCTACCCCTCCCCACTCACTGCTCGCGTGCTCTCTCTCAAATAAACAAATAAAATCTTTAAAAAAAATTATGAGTTTAAGAACTGTAAACATTTTTAAAAGGATGATGAATATTTAAAATATTTATTATATATAATATCTCTCTAAATTATTTCTGAATTGTTGTAAGGTATATAACTTAATTACATATGACTCTAAAGTTAAAATGAAGAGCAAGCTATAAAATAGGAGAAAATATTCCCATCTCACATATCAGACCAAGAACTTATATCTAGAATATATAAAGAACTCTTATGACTCAATAAGACAAATACAAATTAAAGTGGGCAAAAGATTTGAACAGAAACCTCAAAAAATAATTTATATATATAAATATGACTTAAAACCCTACATCATCACTGGAAGTCATTAAAATTAATAGGACTGAAAATACCAAATGTTGGTAAGGATGGTGAACAACTAGAATTCTCATCATTACTAGTTAGAATTTAAAATGGTACAACTTTAGAAACAAATAATGCAAGATATGTTAAGAAAAAAGAAAAAGAAGAAGATAGCAGGAGGGGAAGAATGAAGGGGAGTAAGTCGGAGGGGGAGAGGAACCATGCGAGACGATGGACTCTGAAAAACAAACTGAGGGTTCTAGAGGGGAGGGGGGTGGGGGGATGGGTTAGCCTGGTGATGGGTATTAAGGAGGGCACGTTCTGCGTGGAGCACTGGGTGTTATGCACAAACAATGAATCATGGAACACTATATCAAGAACTAATGATGTAATGTATGGTGATTAACATAACAATAAAAAAATTTTTAAAAATGGTACTTTACAAAGCAGTTTGATAATTTCTTTAAACATTAAACATTTAACCACATAACCCAGCCATTTCACTTGTATTAGTCCAAGAGAAATGAAAACATACATCCATGCAAAGACCTGTACATGAATGTTCATAGCAGATTTATTTGTAATAGCCCAAAACTGAAACAACCTTAATGTCTGCCAGTAGGCTAATGGATAAACAAAACATGGTTTATCTATACAATATAATTATTCAGCAACAAAAAGAAGCAAAATAGCAATATATACATAACATGGATGAATCTCAAAATCATGCTTAGTGCAAGACACAGGAGTAGCTACTGTATGATTCTGTATTTGTAAAAAGTTCTAGACATATAAACTGATCTATAGTGATAGAAAGCACATTAGTGGTTGTTGGGGACAGGGGTAGAAGGTGAGATGGATTATAAAGAGGCCTGAGAAAACTTTTGGTGTTGACAGAAATATTTGGCATTTTGTTTACAATGGTATACACCTGTCAAAAACTCATTGCCTTGTACATTTCAAATATGTGTATATTTTAAGTAAAGTATATCTCAATAAAGTGTACCAGAGGAGCTGAAAGATCTGTAACAGATGTTTTGGAAAAAGGAGTAATTTTGCCTTAATTTGTTAAACTGGATTTTTAAATGTTGGCTTTGTTTCCAGAAAAATTATTCACCTAACAAAGGCCAATTCACCTATGCAGAACTACTGCCAGTCCTATTATGTCACTTACCTCATTGCTCTTACGAGCCAGACGTAGGGACTCTGGAGTCAGTTCTGGCACTTAATTAGCTGTGTAAGCTTGGTTAAGTTCTCAACCTCTCTGTGCCTTAAGTTCCTCATCTCTAAAATAGGGATATGAGCTACACCTCAAAGAGCTATTGTGAGCCTTAAGGAAATGAATACATGTAAAATGCTTAGAAGAGTATATGGCACATGGTCTAAGTGCTGCATGAATGAGCTTTTATTGTTATTCAGGATTTCATCTATTTAACTGACATCGTGAAATGTTCTCCCAACCAATTCTAGTAACTACAGAAAGCCAAATAAAGGAAAGATTATGTGTAAACAGAGCAAGAGCACCTGTCAGGAGTACCTAATTTTTATTTCAAGCTAACTCATGTTTCAGAGGGGCTTTTTTAAAAATGAAAACTTAGGGGGCACCTGGGTGGCTCGGTCGGTTAAGCGTCTTGACTCTTGATTTCAGCTCAGGTCATAATTTTGGGGTCATGAGATCGAGCTCTGAGTCAGGCTCCCAGCTGCTTGGGATTGTTTCTCTCTTTTTTTTTTTTAATTTTTTTTATTTTTCAGACTCCCTGCTGAGCAGGGAGCCCGATGTGGGACTCGACCCCAGGACTCCGGGATCATGACCTGAGCCGAAGGCAGTTGCTTAACCATCTGAGCCACCCAGGCGCCCCTTTTCCTCTGCTCCTCCCCTTGCTCTCTCTCTTAAAATGGATACATTTTTATTTTTTCAAAAAGATTTTATCTATATGAGAGAGAGAGAGAGGGAGCCTGTGAGAGAGAGCACAAGCAGGGGTAAGGGAAGAGGGAGAAGGAAGCAGAGTCTCCATTGAGCAGGAAGGCTGTCTGGGACTTGATCCCAGGACCCTGGGATCATGACCTGAGCTGAAGGCAGATGCTTCACCAACTGAGCCACCCAGGCACCCCTAAAATAAATAAATCTTTAAAAATAATAATAAAAATGAAAGCTGAAGATTAGACTTGATCATTGTCTTTTGTGATTGCTCTGATTTTGAACCAATTCTTTGAAGATTTCAGTTCATATTGTGTTAATGCGTGCCATGTATAATACCCAAAAGAGTATGGAGTATCAAGCAGAGACACCCAGGACGCTAGCTAATTTTACTATTTATAGGCTGTATTAGGTCCCAAGCAAGAAATAGTTTGTCTTGACTGAAACTCATCTGGAGTATTTTTTTAAGATGTACCTTCTAATATTTTTGGAACAAATCTAGCAAAATTCTGAAAACTTGAGTTCCTATTTATACCGCAAGCCTAGTTATAGAGGAACACCCACATTGTTCATTTACTTTTTTTCCCTTTTTTTTCATTTACTTTTAGGAAAGATATAGTGAAAAGAGCAAGAATATAGAATCTTTTATTTTGGAGAAATGAAACTATGTAGGTTATTCAATAGCTGGAGAAAGCTTGGTCTTTTTTATTTCAGTAAAAATATGGAAAGCCATTGTGAAAGTTAAATAAAAACATATATCAACTATTGTGTTAAATATGAAGTTACTCATTCATACTCATAAATATGAATTACTCATAATTCATGAGTTACTCATAATTCAAAACTGCCTAAAAGAGCTTCATATCTTAATAAAAAAACTAAGAACTCTACTTTAATTCTAGAATTGTCAGAGAATTTATTACATTCCAACCACCCATTTACAAATTGCAAAACTAGAACTTTTGCACTGTACAAAATGTTTTTAATAAGTCTCAGGTTTGGTGAATAAATCAACTTAAGTGAAAAATCTAATAAAAAATTTTATGCCCCACAGCACATCATTTGTGTTGTGGGGTGGCATTTAAAAATCATACAGCATGGTCTTAAAAAAATGTTTATTAAATACCTCTGAAGAAAAAAGTGGGCAAAGTAAGGATGTTAATCTGGTTACTTTTAGCTCAATTCTTCCCCTTTAAAAAATACACCAAATAAATGGCAAAGTCTTATACTTTTAAATCTAATTCACTGAGAAGCATTAGGAGATGTTTTATATTTTTCCTTTATTTGCATCTTTCTCTCAGAGATGTAGCATCCTCTGTATTCCATTAAAGCTATCTAAAAGTATTTTTTTTGATGCAGTAGTAAATAGTATTTTTTAAAATCTAAACTTACTAAACATTTGTTGCTAACATTTAGAAATATTGATTTTGTATATGGGCCTTATATTTTACCCCCTTGCTAGCTAAACTTATTCTTAAGCCTTTTCCTAGATTCCTTGCTCTTTCCTACATATATGATCATATCATCTGCAAATAGAGACAGTGTTACTTCTTTCTCTCCAATCTGAACACCTTTTGTTTTTCTTGTCTTACTGTACTGGCTAGGACCTCCAGTACAATACTGAATAGAAGTGGTGAGAATGGATATCTTTCCCTTGTTCCTGCTCTTGAGTTTTGCAATCTTTTAACATTATTATAATCTCAGGAAAGACTAAGCAGAGCATCACATTAAGTTTTAGTCTAGGTAACTGATCCTGTTATCTTTGCTATCTTTTGTAACTATTTGTTATCTTTGCATGTTTTTATTTCTTTTTATCTATTTAAGTGTTTTTTAGAGATCTTAATTGTAACAGAAATGCAGCCCTATGGGGAGCCTGGGTGGTGGTGGTGGCTCAGTCGGTTAAGCTCAAGCGTCTGCCTTTGGCTCAGGTCATGATATCCGGATCCTGGGATAGTCCTGAGATCAAGCCCCAAGGCTCCCTGCTCAGCGGGGAGTCTGCTTCTCCCTCTCCCTCTGCCCCTCCCCCCTGCTCATTTTCTCTCTCAAATAAATAAAATCTAAAAAAAAAAAAGAAATGCAGCCCTGTACCTGTTAGCATCATAAACACTCTTAGCTATGTTGGTTATTAACTTTGCCTTTTCAGGAAATGAGATTAGTATCTGATCTAGAAGTTTGCCAAGCTCTAGCTATTTTACACCAATACAACAATCACAAAAATAACTAAGGGTTTACTACTATGATAAATGATAAATGATATTTCCAATGATAAAATACAAAAGAACTAACAAAATCATTAATTGGGAGTACTTCACATTTAATATAACATTTATGTCTTTATCTAAACTAAGTCTTTGAACATCAATAATCATAAGTACTCTATGGCTAGCTAACTTGAGAAT